CCGCGCGAGAAGAACCGATTTACATAGGGACGGGTCGAGTTGCGCACGAGTTTTCGAGCGAATCTACCGCTTTCGATGTCTCCCGCCAAAGTGTTATATCTTTTTTAGCGAATTTGCGATTGAAGATCGAATGGAGTACTGAAAACCAAAGTTCGGTGACTAATTATAACTCGAGCGTCTTGAAAAAAGGGAAGTTTGGTATGGAAAAATATGTGGTGGAAGTCGGTGAGTTTTACCAATTTCGTGACTGGAATCTATCAATGCTATTCAAACTTCAAAGTTGCGTTTTGGGGAAGAAAATCAAGACCGGTCTTTTTTTTTTTTTGTTTGGGTCGGATGGACCGTTCATGTGTAACAATAATGTGCCCTTCATTTTTTAAATGAAAATTCGCGGTGTTAAATGGACGGGCCTAAATGAGCTCGGGCCAGGTCTCGTGACCATTCCAGGTTTGAATGTCTTGTCGGGCTCAGGATCGAGCCTCGAATGCTATAACCAAGGCTGCCTAGATTTCAAATAACTTGAGGAGTTTCATAGTAAATGACGTGAAAATAAGGTTCCGTTTGTTTCGCGAAAAATAAAAGATTTGAAAAATGTTTTCCTAAAAATGATTGATTATATTGTTTACAAAAATGAATGAACGAAAAAATAGTTAGACATAAGTTATTATCGGTAATAAATTTTTTTTTTATTGACTAAAGAATTCGAGCGATTGTTTTTAGCCCGTGGAAGGCGGCGATTGGTGGGCCTGCCCAAGCTTGTTTCATTTTATCTTGAAGTTGAATACTATGATTATGTTGGAGAACTTTCGGGTTTGTAAAGACGAGAGATTTATAGATCCAGCGGGTGCTAATAGACTCGAGAACTGAGATCGATTGCTTCAATTGTTGTCAAGGCCCAGTTGAATATTAAAAGACGTCATGGTAAAGTAAAATCGGTTGCCATGAACCATATCTTTCTTCACCAAAGTAATGTAAAATCATCTTTTTGACATGCGATTGACCAAGCGATTCTTAGGGAACGGACGTTCGACGCTTCGATGACCGTCGAAATAAAAGAAAGAATAAATTTCACTCGTTTAATGTGAAGCCTTTAGGTTATTGCTTGTCGTGGCGTTCTTTAAGATTTACTATTTGAGAATCCGTCCCTCAATGGACCATGGAATTGCCTCCTTAAGGTGGTTTTGTTATCTTCAAAATTAGGTAAGGCAACGGTCGCCCTGTAATTAACAAGCTCTAAATCAGTCGTTCGCGCAAGTTCCGTAAGCAAATCAAAGGTCATTGGCCACTGTCGAGTCATGATCATCCCGACAGGCTTTTTCATAGCGAGACTTGATCATAAACCTAACGACCCTGCTCTCGCATAGACCTACCCTCATCATAAGTGCCCGAAAGACATATTTCGATGGGCCTGAAAAGGGCCTTTGAGAAAAGCCTGGCCCAATCCTGTTCATCTCGATTTAGTATCACCTAGTCAATTGGTAAGTGAGTGCGGACAACAAGCTAAGGCTAGATTGGAGCTTGGCATGGGATTGTGCATCGATCACCTCTATTCCTAGCCATCGATTAGATAAAGTGGCAAATGTTATTCACTAACCGAAATCCAAATTACACAATTATAAGATAAGATTGCATATCGATGACCAGGAAACTATTTGGTACAGCTTTCCGTATCAATTTTTAATAATGAAAAATGATGCCATACAGGTTTTTATAAAGGCGTCCAGTAAACGCCTTGCGATTACAATACTTTCGAAGTTGGAGTAGCTTGCTCCAACTTTCAAGAAACCGTCTCACCCAGTTTTAAGGGGCAGTTGCCTTAAAAAAATGTATTATAAAACAAAATACGAAAGAAGAACCGCAGTTTATTCATATTTATACCAAACAATTATTCAACCCTCTGATTATTGAGTTACGTAATGGATACAACCCACGTATAACTTCAAATGAATATAAGGATTTTGTTTAAAAAATGTCCCCGTTCTGAAGGTACTTGTTAGATAACCAAATGAGGAAATATTTTAACTGTTAATGTATAGACCGTCCTTGTGATATGCACGTTCGATGTCTTGAAAGTCGAGTGATTGTTTTTTAAGTAGAGTTAACAAGTGTAACAGTGCACTTTTTAAGGAGGCTCCAAAAAGAAACGTGGCCAATATCCATATTTGCGATCTATCTGTCAAATGATCGATAAGAGGAAAACTAGAGATGGAGGAGAACATGACTCGATGTTCGACCCACTCATAAAACGAGGCCACAAATGTCGATTCACTTCCATGTGTCGGTCACCTTTTTTCGAGACGGTCAAGCTAAAAGCATCGATGTAGAGGAGTCCGTCGTGTGGGCCTCTCGAGTGGGCCCAAGCCCAAGAAGATTTCAGACGCAACTCAATTGGGCTTCCCTGTAAAGCCCACAAAGAGCCGTTCCCTTCGGAGGATGATGAGATACGGCCGCGAACAAGGCCTCGCCTGAGGCCGCGCGACCTTGCCATACCCGCACATGGCTACGCATTCGTTGTTTGGTGTCTGTCGGTCATTGTGGCTCCGTGATGGCTCGGTTCGATTGTCAATGTCGTGCCTCGGTCCAGCACCGAGTCATCATCGCCTATCGCGTTGGATGCGCAAATTGAATGCTGAGTCAAAGAAGCGAAAAGGAAAAAAAATTTAGATCCTGTCGAATTTTGTGGTTTGTTTCCGAATTTCCTCTTTTCGCTCCGTTCAATGTTTTAAACTTTTTTTTAAAATTTTTGCTATTCACGTTGTATGTAGGCGTGGAACTTGAGAGCGGCGGTTTCATCGAATTTTACGACGAGGGACCAACTCATTAAGGACGCGAAAAAATAAACTAGGCACTCGATCGAACATTCAGAAAGAAAAGTTCAAGGATCACCCGTGCCTTAATTTGTTCCAAGGAAAAAAAAAAACATAAATACAAGCGATATTTGAGGGGATGGAAGAAAGAAAAAGACAAGGTAACATGGGCTACGTACATCACTTGTGCTCATTGCGTTCTTGAACACTCCATTAATTTACTAATGATGCTGCCGACTGCAGAGTTCTCTCCTCATCTCACCACTTATTTAAGGCAGGAATAATTGCATGATCTTTTTGCACACGCGACGCACTCATCCTATCCGTTGGTTTTTCTTTTCTTTTGTTTGTGATTTGCTCCTTGCTTCTTTCTGATTTGTCAACGACAAGTCAACTTGGGAACCAAGGCACTCGATCTGCCCACGTCACTTCCACAACAAAGCTCATCGGGGTCCCTTTTCTTGGAATCTCCTCCACTTCTTTTGTCAATGCTTCATTGGATTGAGAATTTGAGATGCCCATCTCGATCTTTTCTATGTCTTTTGAATGGTGGGATTGCCCCCAAAATTGACAAATTAGAAATCATTATTCAAATTTATATATATATATATATATATATATATGTGTGTGTGTGCCGATTACTACGTACCGTGATGAGACTACTCCATTGATACGATGACTTCTCCACAAATCTCGTCGAATTTGTGATATTAATTTCGGTCGAATTCATTAGCATCCTTCCATCAAGGACGAGAGATGTGCATAATATCGAAGTCTCTACTAGAAAACTCAAAGGAGAAAGACAAGTGGCCAACCACTTGATCAAACACATAAGGTACAGAGTTTACTTAGGGTTACTGTTGAATCTAAATAAAAGGGAGAGGTGATGGACACCGGGATTTTCGAGTTGTTTCCTTCCATACTTGGCATACAAAAGATTGCTTCTTGCTACATACAAAAAAATTCATCTTCGGGATACGCATCCGATGATCTAAAATTAAGAGCTGTAAATTCGACGAGCGAGTATTATACGTGGGTAAAGAGTTCTGTTTTGTCTTGTCATTGCTATCGTGAAATTGGCCTGAACAATATCCAAGAGACCATCTTTTCCTCGACCCCTCGGGTACAATTGAAGCCCTGCTCCTGCGGTCCCCGTTAAAACGCGGGTATAGAAGATTCAATAAGGTTTTTATTGAGGCATTTGAATTTATGAGGTACGCTTACTCTAAGGTATGTATTTCTAGAATGCATAGGACTAGGAGTCCTTACTTGCGGTTTGATCGCTTGGGGAAAGAAAGCGACAGCTAACGATCTCAAGCTTAACAACGTGTGCAACGACTGAGGTTAGACGAACGTGTCTCTATTTTCCTTGGCCTTCTCTTTGCATCAGAGCACAAATTCGAGCTACTTCCTGTCTTGTTTCTTCACTGCCAGAACAGATCTAAAGCCCGTGACATCGCAGCTGTTTCTTTCACCCCCACGAGCAGATACACATACGCAAGTAAGAATGACTTTTAATACATGGGATAATGCGAGGGACGACTGATGAAAAGAGACTTCATTCGCCTCACATGAAAAGGTATTTTTTCGACGCATCTATGATTGCTCTCATTGCAAGGAAGATCTTCTCGGGCGATTTGCGTTTCTGCCTTTAGGAAGAACCGATCGTGCTCTCGTGGGGTGGACTTCACTTTCCTCGTCTAAATTTTCCAAAATGACCATGAATCTCCACTTTTGAAGTAATGCTCGCCTAATCATGGAAAGTTCCGAGTTGGGTCCATGGCGGAGGGCATTAGTTTTATCAACCGAAAGGAATAAAGAAAGGAGGAGCCAAGAAAAGCTCATATTCAAAAAGCTTAAATGATCTGACGTCCTTTGCTGCGATCAAGAGTCACACGCCACCTTGCCCCGTAGAAACAACAAAAGCAGGAATCGATCCCCCCCCCCCCATTGACCCCCACTCTCTGTAATTACAGAATTCACGACCATGGCTGATCTGCTTTTGATATTCGACCATTACTTTGAGTAAAAATGTTTCCTTTATCCATTTTCTCTTTTGTGGGGGTGGTCAAAGACGTGGGCTTAGATGGGTGGTAGATTGAGTGTAGCTGTGTGCCTGCTGTTGTAACGTGTGTAGTGTTTTCAGGGGGGGTTGTAAACGAAGCCGAGGACAAAAAAGCCGGCTCGTCTCTCTCTCTCTCTCTCTCTCTCTCTCTCTCTGTCTCTCTCTTCAGATTTCACAGCAAAAAAGTTTCATCTTTCTGCTTCTCTCTGCCACTTCTTTGTTGTTTTCGAGCCTTGGAACATCTTTCGCTTCGTTTCGCTCGGCATCTTTCTTTTCCTTCTCCCTCCTCCTGCTGATCTCTCCTCGACCCCTGATCGGACGAGGAGCAACGGACGTCCTCTGCGAGCGAACCCTTTTGGAGTTTTGATTGGACTCTTGGCGCTTGTAGGGATGCCATCGTCAGATGATTGATTGAGCTTGAATGCATCTGAGCTTTGAACCGCATTAAAAGCAAGTGGGTCTTTCTTGGTTGTGAGTTTGGGAGATGGGTTGCTTTCCTTGTTTTGATTCGAGGGAAGAAGAGACGCTGAAACCGGACAAAGGAAGTGACGACCCGAAACACGGCCTCTCAACTATGTCCTCCAAGATTTCCAGCTTGCCGTCCGGTCAGTTTCGTTAGCTTTCACTGATGAATTCTTGCCCTTTTTGGTATTTCGCTGCTTGATCCAATCTTTGGTAGGTGAGTTTCATAAAGAGTGTAATCATGGTTCTAGCTCTGTGATTGTGACTTTGAGAATCAACTGGACGTTTGATTAGTAGTCCAATCCGTTTACAGAGTTTCTAGAGGATAGGTTGGATTTCTTTTGCTGATGCAATAATTGCTCAGGATGATTTTTGATAGTTCAGGTCTTGCTGATTGATGAAAATATAGGTTTCTCTAAATCAGTTGGTTAGCTTGTGGGCACCCTGATTTGCTGACTTTGCAAGTCACTTATTACTGTTGAGTGCTTTCAGATTGATCACTGTTCAGCTATACCAAGTGATGTATCTGATTTAAATCTTTGAGCTCATACCTGCGGAGGAGATTGCTGTCTCTGTGCACACCATCGTAGATCACTTTGTTAAATGTCGAGTGGCGTAATTTGAAATTATCTGCATCCATTTGCTTGTCAATTTTACAGGGGCAGAAAGACTGAGGTCGAGAAGCAATGTGGGGTCAAAAAGGGATCTAATTGGCCCTAAGGATGGACCGGGTGCACAAATTGCTGCTCAAACCTTCACCTTCCGCGAACTCGCTGCTGCTACGAAGAACTTTAGGTCGGAGTGTTTTTTAGGGGAAGGAGGATTTGGGCGCGTATACAAAGGGAGACTTGAGAGCACTGGACAGGTAGATAATGTGCTCATTTTCTGTATGTGTTGTGTACGTGGCATATTTATGGTTGCGTTTTTAGTAAATTAAAATCTGCATCAGCTAGTATTCCCTTTCCAGGCTTTTAGTTTTCGGTCCATGAACCAACTCTTTTACCTGAAGTCGGAAAGCTAAGTTCAGCTAGAATTTATGATTTCGTAAAAAGGCCTTTTCTAGTTCATCTAACATGTAGAAAAGGTATGAATTCATAGAAAATTATGTTGTTACATTCGATTTCCAATCCAACTTTAGTCGCTCTTCTTACCAACTAATCAACAGTCAATTGGAGCTATACTTATTGACCATTAAAAATAAAAAAAAAACTCATTCCTATAGGTTAGATCCAATTAAACCTTGCTTATTGGTGGAGATTCTTTTTACTAAAATGGTTGTAACATTTTTTTTCTGTTATTGGAAATGACTATGGTTGATGTCTGAATCAGTCGAACAGTGTATTCTTGAGAAATATGTCAATCCCTCTGCAAGTGAAGCCAACACTTTTTGCGTAGTTGCCACCGGTTTAATGGAACATTTGTTTAGCCCCTTTTTCTTTCGTCGAAAGGTTTTGTTGGCGTTCATTGTTTCTTTCTCGGGAAAATAAATTTGGAGCTACAAGCTGTGAACAGCGCAATCAATCCTAAAACTTTTTCTGTTTGATCAGAAGAGTCTAAGTCGGTAGAGCAGATCGTTTAATTAGAAAAACTTGGAATAGTTTTCTTACGAGTTTGAAATGGTTAGTTTTCATGATAACATCCTAAGAGCTTCAACTTTTTCACATTTGTCTCACAATTGTCAAGATTGACATTGTACATAAATTTTTTGCCCAGGATAAGTCATTGAACCATTGAAGGTTCCCATACTGTCAGACAAAGCACTGTATATACCATATTTATGCTGGCTGCGGTTCTGTTCCGTTAAATTCTCATATCTCGTGGAGCTACTCACGACTCTCTTGTACGTGCTGTTATACATAGTTCTTACTTTGACCTTAGTCGTTTGTAGGTTGTTGCAGTTAAACAACTGGATAGGAATGGTCTCCAGGGTAACCGCGAATTTCTGGTGGAGGTTCTGATGCTGAGCCTTCTGCATCACCCTAATCTCGTGAGTCTGATTGGTTACTGTGCTGATGGTGATCAACGGCTTCTTGTCTATCAATTCATGCCCTTGGGATCGTTGGAAGATCATCTTCTCGGTAAAATTAATTAGCCTAAATGAGAGGTTTTTCCTTCTATTATTCTTCTAGGTAATCCAGTATATATTTCTTTGCACTTCCCTAGTACTCTGCCCTGAAGTGGCCCAGCACTGAAAGTGTGAAATTGACTTTTATTGCAAATTAAAAAGAAGATATAGATATGATACTACAATTTTTATTATATAGTCGTGTGTTCACATTCTGGTCACAATTATGTGAAAATCAGCTCTCTGTAATAGGCAACTGATATTAGCATTATGCTATTGGTACAGATCTTCCACCGGATAAGGAACCGCTAGATTGGAACACAAGAATGACTATAGCGGCCGGTGCAGCCAAAGGTTTAGAATACCTGCATGACAAAGCTAATCCCCCGGTTATTTATAGAGATTTCAAGTCATCCAATATATTACTGGATGAAGGGTTCCGTCCAAAGCTCTCCGATTTTGGTCTCGCGAAGCTTGGTCCTGTTGGAGACAAATCGCATGTTTCCACAAGGGTCATGGGCACTTATGGATATTGTGCTCCAGAGTATGCAATGACGGGACAATTAACCGTTAAATCTGACGTCTATAGTTTTGGGGTAGTCTTCTTAGAGCTGATCACTGGACGAAAAGCCATCGACAGCTCCCGTCCCCATGGGGAACAGAATCTTGTAACATGGGTAATTCTAATTCTAATTTAACTTATGGCTCTGGTTGCATGACCATGAATCCTATTTCTATTAGACTTCTGGTTTGTTAACCTGTAAGGCAATGTCTTAGAATAAGTTAGTGATTATTTAGTGTACTTGGAGAATTTCTTCATGGATGAAAATGAAAGCAAGTTTCAAGTTATTCTTACTTTCAGAAGTACAATTAGGTGCTTTTGGAATGCAAAGAGTTTTCAAAGTGAAACATTCCCTTACTACATAGTTTTAATTGAATAGGAACGTAGCTGAACATACACAGAAAGCAAAGTGATTGCAGGTTAAACTTTCTTTTGCTGCTTTCAGAACTGGGGTTTATAGAGTAGTTCTGAGAAACAGCGACCAGAAAGCAGTTTCAGAAGCTTGGCTTTGCCTCTATTTTTCCTAACAAATCCTAAGTTGTTCTTTCTGATGTTTTGCCTGTGCAGGCACGTCCACTATTCAATGACAGGCGAAAAGTTTCAAAATTGGCGGATCCAAGGCTGCAGGGGCGTTATCCAATGCGGGGTCTATATCAGGCGCTTGCTGTGGCATCCATGTGTATACAAGAGCAGGCGGCTGCGCGTCCTCTCATCGGTGACGTGGTGACGGCCCTTTCTTACCTAGCGAACCAGGCGTATGATCCTAACATAGCTTCTAATTATGGGAACAAAGGATCCGGCGCCGATGAGAGAGGTGGCAAGATTTTGAGGAACGAGGATGCTGGAGGTTCCGGGCGCAGCAGGTGGGAATTCGAGGGGTTCGAGAAGGATGATTCTCCAAGGGACGGTAAGTTGTTAAATAGGGACTTGAATAGAGAAAGGGCCGTTGCTGAGGCGAAGATGTGGGGAGAGAATTTGCGAGAGAAAAGACGGCAGAGCGCTCAAGGCAGTTTTGATGGATCTAATGGCCGGCTGTCTTGATCGAGAATTTCTCGCTTTGTCCCCTCCTCGAGCCTCTCGGCTTGCTTTCTGTCAACCATACGAAGCAGATGCAGGGCATTCATGCTGTGGAGCGCACATTCCATTTTGTCGAAAGGGAATGAGTGGAGAGATTGTGGTCGAATTAGGAGGACTTGGTCCCTACTCTTTTAACTCCGGCACTTTTCGGGGTCTATGTCTCCATTCTCTGTTTATACTTTCTTGAAATTTTGGAGGAAGAGGAGTTGGGTGTATATCATTTGCTAGGACAGCATTCTAGAAAGAGAATCTAGAGGAAGAGAGACTTTGTCTGTCTTGTAACGCTTGTGCTGAATCGTGTAAGTTCATTCTGAGCAGAATTTTGCCTGCATTTTCTAACTCTAGTTTTGAGCAACATCTTATCTACTAATTTGGGGCTTGTTAGGCTACCTGGTCTCAGTTGTAGAAGAAGATTGGAACTCCCTTTGGTTTTTTTGAATGTTCTTGCTCCTTTGCTTATATAACAGGCATGTTGCAAATGATGCAGGTCTTGAAGTCCTATCCGATCATGACAGCCTACAAATGATCTTTTGAATTGTGGCTACAAGTTCGTTCATTTGGCTCTCTTCCTGGGCATGAATTTCGACTGCAATGCTTGCAATATGCGAAGCACCAACTGATAAATGGAACAATAGATTAGATCGACTCAACCGCGGTATTCAAGTGAGTTAATGCAATTCAGCACGAGTAGTAATTAAGTCGATCTTTGATTAGATAACATAAGAATGAATATTCATTGAGGGATTGCCTCAAGCACTTTCTTCTTCGTTCAATTGTATGCCAACCAAACAAGCGAGGGAGAGAGCAATAACCAAAGTAGGTAGTTCGGGAGGTTTGTATCCAATCTTGCCTTCGCTAATACGTAGCTGTTCCTACTCCACTCCAACTGCTTGGACAGAGACGGAGTCGACTGTGGCCTGGTGCAGTTGCGATGGAGGTAGAGGGACTCCAGCGCCGCCTCACCGGGGCTCGGGCGACATTGGCGACCGCTCCCCAAGGTTGCGCGTCACCTGGGCCGCGCAACCTAGGAGGCTCTCCGTTCTCCTTTTCATTATTATTTTTTTTTTTGCAATGAGTATTTTACAAGTTGTTTACTAACACTACTTGCTTTGCATAAAAATACTTCCGAGTCAACATTTTGCATAAACGCAACGTCTTTTGGGCAAAAGCTGCCCAATATTAAACAGATACCAAAGCTTCATTGCAGCAATTTCAATTTTACACTCTTTTGTTGAACTCGCAAACCGACGGAACGCCGTTTCTCTTGCAGAACCGGGGGTCTTTGCGGCGGCGCCTTCAGGCGAAATCGCCGATCCGGGGGAAGGGAGATGCAGTTCTTCGGGGGCTCCGACATCAGCCCGTCGCCGCCCGCGCCGACGGCGGCGGGGCACAACGCGAACGTGATGTACGTGTTCAACCGGAACGGCGCGTGCTTGTTCTACAGGGAGTGGAACCGCCCCCTCCGGACCCTGAACCCCCAGCAGGACCACAAGCTGATGTTCGGCCTCCTCTTCTCCCTCAAATCCCTCACCGCCAAGATGGATCCCACCACCTGGTATTCCCATTTTGCTTCAACCCGCGTCTCCCATCCGATCGTTTCGTCGATTTTGCGGGAAGTTGAATTCCGAGTGGGTGGATGGCGGATCGCGCGAAGCATCGAAAATGTTGTGTAGAATTGTGGGTCTTTATGCATTGTGTTGAGAATGTACGTGCTGCCCGGTTGCTTGATGATTTGCTTTGACTTGGATCCCTTCGTAATTGGTCTCTGAACACTCTCCCAAACGGTCATATGCGATTAAATTTCGCTGAAATTGCTGAAATGAGTGACCTTTTTGAATCTTGTGTATTCAATTCAGGCACCCTTTGATGGTAACCCGGTTTTTACTTTATTTGGTAATTTACTTGTTCTTTCGCTGAATTGCTGTTGATCCTCACGAATGTTCAGCGAACCTTCGATTGAAAGGACTTTGAAAATTTTCAAGTCGAGTTCGAGCTCAAAGGAAAAGAAAAATCTAACGGAAGTCGAACCTGCCGTAGAAATTTTAGACTATATGAAAATTGTGTTTCTTTGTTCTATGCGCACTCGCAGGCTCCCTCTTACATGCAAACGCATCACAAACACACAAAACATAACTGCTCAATAACTCATTGGTCGGACAAGTTAAGCATTGCTGGCCTTGAAACTCAACTAAACTTAATGTTCAAGTAGTCACTTAGTCAAGTTCATGTAGCTCGTGAGGAGGTGGACTTTTTTGTGCCATGAGCTTAGAGCTGCAAAAGCTTTCTATTGCCAAGGGCCAAGCATGCAGGAGAAGATGCAGGAGAACCGGATGATCAGTGATTAACTTACACACTCTCTGTTTTTTTCCTCTCGCAGTGGGGACAAAGGAAATCTTGGGGTGCCGCAGTTACCAGGCCAGGGTTGTTCATTTCGCAGTTTCCGCACTAACACATACAAACTTAGTTTCATGGAAAGTCCTTCTGGTATAAAGGTTAGTTAAACTAATTCTGCCATCTTTGGAGTAATTTTTCTACCTCAGATGTTGTTTGTAATGAGCTTGTGCTAAAAAACTTCAATAATCTTTCCAAATGAGCAAGACCTGTTGAAACCGAGCATTATTAAGGAACCGACACCCCTACTGATGTGTCTAAAGGCACCACACAATTAGAAGGTGTTTGCATAATACAAGAGAGAAACGGTTTGCTTGTGTTAACTTCTAATATCTGTGCATTGACTACTTAGTATTTATGCTCAATAATGCAAAATGAATTTGTTGAGAATCACATTGCCAGATCATCTTACTTTTACAGTGTTAAGGATTTGCCTTATGCTTTTATTGCTTGCAACTTCAGCAAATATATTAATGTCAATGCATTTTTGGATCAGATCTTTGCCCATTAGCGTACTTCTCTTTAGAAGACTCTTACCAACCATCAATCTGCTTTTTCTTTTGTTGTTTTTTTTCATCTTATTCCTCATGCCTTTGCAGATAATATTGGTTACACATCCTAGGACCGATGATCTACGGGAAGCTTTGAAGTATATATACAGTCTCTATGTTGAATATGTGGCTAAAAACCCTCTCTATGCTCCAGGAACTCCTATCAGGTGACTGATGGACTTTTGTTGGTTTAAACTGGTCGATTAGATGATGCGTGTCAATGTTGATGATCTATTATTGAAATAGTGTTCTGTAGGGGACCAAAATAGTCAGATTGTCTGCCAGAAATATCTGTCTGTTAAAATCCTTGATGATACTTTTTTGTCTTTTTGGATAATGAACCCTGCATTGTCCCAATGCTTTTGATATAGCTTGCATCTTTTTGGTATTAGTACTTCTGTGGACATATGATTAGGATTTGGGATGAAGACATTTTGTGGTGACCATTGCTTTTCTTTCTGTGAGTTATATTTGCTTAATTGCAGAAGCTGTTATTTTCTCTCCTTATATCTTTCTGTGAGTTATATTTGCTTAATTGCAGAAGCATTTCGTAAAACCTTGGTATGGAGCTAAATATGTATATACTTTTTGGCCATGGATCAAGCTTAGTGGACAATCTGGAGAATTGGTTGATTGTGATGTGCCTGCTTGGTGTATTATGTGCCTCTCTCTTTGCTGCCAGTACTAGTCCAACTCCAATCTTCCTACATTTATGTATCAGCTGCTTCCTTTGTAAACAGATTAGCAGAGGAATTTTTTATGCTCCTCTTCCTTCTATATGAATAATAGTGATTGTTGCTGTGGACATTACTCTGTACCCTCTTTTTTTTCCCTTCTTTTACGGCTTTATCATCAAGATGCACAAATGTCGTTGGAAGGCGTTGATTCCTGTGTCTGAATTTAAATTGAGCCCTGATAGGTTTACCCGATTAAAAATACACAAAGCTGCAAGCATCTGCAGTGAACTTTTGATATTGCCTGGTTATGAGTGATTGATGTTATGCAGAACTATGTGCTGCTACTAGCTTCACTATGAGAATATTTCTTGGTCCTTGTGACGCCGTAGTACACATTTTTGGTAGGCCTGGATCGATCATCACCATCATCAATATCATTCATGCTCACGCCTTGTTATCAAATTGATGGGTATGGGTTCTGGTTGGTCGTAGAAAACCTAAAATATTTAATCATAGTATCCAATATTTGCTCGGGTGACTGTGGCTCGAAGAAAAGCAAACCTGGAATGGCAGTCGAGGGCAATGGTCATTTGGTAAAATTCATCAGGCCAGACATAAAAAGGCTCTTATTGAGCCTTATACAGCAACCAAAGTAGATTGATCCACCATTGGGCTTCAATCACCTTGCCTAGAGAAACAAAACTCTAGATTTCACATGTCGAGATATAGTCAGAAGTTGCTTTACATTGATAATTTCATCGTCGCTTCCTTTGTGAATGCATTATCTTGAGACGAACTCAATACATATTTTATGGAATTCAATGTACGTTACTTTAAGAGCGTGCCAATATTCCTAGCTTCGAACTATATCTACTTCTTCCTTTCACAAGTATGTTTAGAGGTGCTTTTGGAATGGAAAGAGTTCTTGAAGTGAAAGACTCCATTACTCCATAGTTTTAATTAAATAGGAATGTAGCTGAACATATAAAGAAAAGAAAGTGATTGCGACTTAAAGTATCTTTTTGTTGCTTCGTAAGTCTTTAAATAGGGACGTGACTAGAGTAAACAGTACCGTTGTCGAGGCATAGATGTGGGGAGAGAATTGGCGAGGGAAAAGGCAGCAGAGCGCTAAAGGCAGTTCGGATGGATCTAATGGCATGTTGTCTTGGTCGAGAATTTCCTGCTTCGTTCCCTCCTCGAGCCTCTTGGTTCGCTTTCTGTGAACCATACGAAGCAAAAACAGGGCATTCATGTTGTGTCACGCATATTTCATTTTGCCGAACTGAATTGAGTGGAGAGATTGTGGTCGAATTAGGAGGAATTGGTCTCCACTGCTTTAACTCGCACTTTTCGGGTTCCATCTCTCCATTCTCTGTTTATACTCTTCTTGAAATTTGGAGGAGGAAGACTTATGTGTATATCACTGCTAGGACAGCAATCTAGATAGAGAATCCACCAGGAGGGAGGGATAAGAATGAATATACTAATAATCAACTCAATCTTTAATTGGATAGCATAAGGATGAATATACTTTGGGAGATTGTCTTAAGCACTTATTCATACAATTGTATACCAACCAAACGAGAGAGACACTCGGGGAGAGGGAGAGCACGACAGAGAAAGTGGAATCCTTATGTAGAGGATGGATCGCCACTAATATGGACCTTCACAATCTTAATTAAAGTCCAGCCCAATGGTAAGTTGGGCCCGAGCGAACCGATACCTTAGCAGATCAGGCCCCCATATCTTCCTTGGCCCGGAGGTCATCGCCAGAAACAACCACTTCCACGGCTCCCTCCAGCGGTCGTGATGGCTGCTGCTTCTCATCTGCACGGGGAGCTTCGCCACCGTCGACGGGGGGCAGGATCGTCGACAGGATCTCGACGGTGATGGGGTGGACTTCGGAGTCTCCTCCTGAGGGGGAGAGAATGACGATGTTGGTCACGTGTTGAGGGAGCTTATCGTCAATCACGATGACGATCCCTGTGTTTCTGTAGTATCTGTACAACACCATCTGACATAGTCCCAAGACGAGGCCCACAACGTTCGGTATCTGCATGTCCAGGTCAAGAACATTCTTAAGTTCGGCGGCCGAACTTACGTTAAAACTCGACAAAACATCTAGTCCGCCAAAAGCTTGCCCACGTTTTTAACGAGAGTTTAGTATCTCCGGCGGAAGTATTAACGTGATGTCGATTCACTCGATCACGTGCATACACAATCTTTATCCATAATAGTTAAAAATATTGGATTTATGTGTTGAGATCGGCCAACAATCCGAGAATCCAAGATTTCACATTGATTATTTTCACAAAGTAACGTAATTAAGTTTAGTTAAATATTCTCGTGTCGGTCCCATTTTCCAAATGTAAAATTCTCGATCCAGCATTAATCATAATCTCTAATAATGTGTTCCGCTCGATCGACATTATTAAACTTTTTTTCTTTCCAAAAATAGATATTATTGACTTATTCTTTGCCCTTGGCCTCCTACTTATACATGGAACTCAATGCAACAAATAAGATTATAGAATAACATGAAAACCGAAAATTATCACCATGCTAAAGAATTACATAAATTCAACCTACCCTAGCAACCTGAAGAGTAAATCTAATCGCACAAAAGGTCTATAGATGTCTATGGACATGGGACCCGCACGCTCTTATTAGCTTTTCTTGAAAATTTAATTAGTCTTAGTCCATTAAAACGACGTGCCAACGCAATCTATTTCGTATCAAATGCAGCTGAACCCAAAAGTGATGCTGAAGAAACTAATTGGATCAACATCACACCAATGCACATTATGATAGAACATACACTTAACATAAATGAAAGCAATCCTTGACAATCGTCAATTTAATTTTTCGAAAATGGAGATCGCTTACCATAATGCACAAGTCCTTTACGAAGAAACCATAGCCGAACCACATGATGGCACTCAACGTTAGAAAGAACGATAGAGGGAAGGGCATGAATGCCACGCTCTTCGTTCGTATAACTCGTGCCTGCACACCATAATAGACCAAAAAAAAGAAAATCAACATGCGTTTTCCATGGTTAAATACAAGAACGTGGGAAGAGAAAGATTGGGTTTTTGAGTGCCTACCACAATGCTTAACGGTGCCGCGAAGACGCTCACGGAAGTCGTTGTGCAAATCCATCCGAACGCCTCGGTGCGTGTCCGATCGTTTGATATGAAGTGTGCGATGAGAATTAGGAGTGAGAATAGTCCGACGTTCATCAGAGCAAAGAGCTTAATCGTGGAGTTCTGCAATAATCAAGATCATTAAGTTAGATAAACAAACACAGGGTAGTTAGAAATATAGGGGGAAAAGAGAGCTTAACAGTAATTAGATTGGAAGGATGGAGAGCAGAAAACACGTTCGGTCAACCAAGTCAGTCGTACACTATCACTATAATTAATTATATTCTTCAAATTTCAGTTTTTTTAACTTGTCGAACATAAATTCTTTCGTTGTATAGATCACGTGAATCGTCCAAGAAAGTTTCCTCGCTAAGCCCTTTGTGTCATTGTGATCGGAATGTAAGCACTGTATTGTCTAACGATCAATACGTACCCTCGTAGCTCTCGGTGCATAAGTAATGTATATGGCAATGTACACCATTTCCACCACGGATCCGAAGGAGTTAATGGTGATGAGAAGGAAGGAGCGCCCTTTGAGGAATGCGTAGTAAAACCAAAGCATGGAGCTGAACAGAGCAACCAAATATGGTAGCGACTGAAAACCCTCGGTTGATTTCTTCCTGTAAATTCTGTAAAATGTCGGTCTGCGATGTAAGAAAAGAAAAGGAATTAACAGTTAAGTACATCAGGAACAAACCACCATCTACGTGAAGGAATGAAATAATATCATCTTCATTCTAGTGAAAGAAAAGAACTTTAAAGAAACATTATTACTTACACTGGCGCCAAGAAGACGAAGAACGAGACAACGTTTCCTATCATCAATTGCAGAACAAAAGCACAAACGTCAGATTATTCTATGCAAGCGGAGTGCAGATGAAAATTTTCTTTTTCCTCGGGTTAAGTGAAAGAAAAAGAAAACCAAGAAGAAAAGCAACCTCGGTCATTTTACTAATCTAACTGCTGAGCACATACGGTGTTGTTGAACAAAACTCGAACTAAATCATGCTGCATGTCGTTCTATGACCTTTGTACAGTCACGATATAGCCGAAAGATAAAAAAGAACGAATTCCCACGAAATGCAAACCGAGTCGAGACAATATTAATCCCAGGTTAGTTGCAAAAAGATTGCAGAGCAGCTTTTGGTTGGTTGTGCAGCAACTATAAGACGGACACAGACGCTAACGTACCCGCCTCAACATTTAAAAGCTAATTCTAAAATTGCACTAGAGTGAAAACAAAAATCGTTGGAGGAAATGGCCAAAAGGGCTGACCAAAGTTGGCAGAAGTCCAAGAGACTGAAAAAGTTGCCCGAGGTTTAATTTTGGGCGAGGCTTATATCATCAAAACGAAACTAATTAAAGAAAATCCCATTTTTTTTCTATGTGAAGACTAGTGTCAAGATGCGTGCACCGAGAAAATCGTTCTTATTTTCTTCGTGTTTTTTTTGCTTTACATGTGTTTTGCAATTGATAGAAAGAGGAAGAGTGAGGTTTCGAACAAAGAGTTTCCATACGAAAAGAAGAAGAAAAGAAAATATAAGAATGACCCACTAACATTATTCTAAAGATACTAAATATAAACGATATATCAAGTGGAAAAAAAATTGGATGTAGACTATATGGGATGAATGGGGAAGTGGGATCGAAGGAAATGGCCAACGAGCAGCAACATTGTGAAGAAGCACAATGATGATGAAGTTGAGCCGCTTCTGATCTTTCTTCTTTACCTAGGATACCAAAAGTGAAGGTCCACGGATGGTGGTAATCCAAGAAGGCCATTTCACCTCCAACCAAGAGAACCTCTCTCCAGGGCAAGACCAGAAGAAGAAAGCAGGGTTCAGAGATAAACCCTGGCTCTCTCTCTTTCTCTCTCTCTCCCTCTTCCTCTCCCTCCCGCTCTCTCACTAGCTTTCACTGAGGATCATAAAAGGGATGGTTTAAGGTGGTGGGGAAGCTCGGCTTTATATATACACACACACGTTGCATCCGCTTAGCACAGGAGAAAAATGGGGGTTGTGTGTGTGTATGCGAGAGAGAGAGAGAGAGAGAGAGAGAGAGGGAGAGGGAGAGTATGCGTATCGAAGTCATTCTGCTTGCATGACAAGTGGAGGATTAGTAGGTGGCGTAGCCCAAAATCATTCTCCCCTCCTTCCCCACGTGCCTCCCTGCTCGCGTGCCCCTACAACTCCTCCGCAACGATGTTGAGGTCGAAAGGCATGCGTCCCTGACCAGCCACACCGCCGTATACATTGGTTTCGTCCGCCGTGAGATGGCGGCTATGTATGGAGGTGCGGTGCGGGGCGGGGCACGCGCCTTGGGGGAGAGAGTGGCAAATCGGTGCGAGGGGAGAGGCCTCTTCGTGAAACACTACGTTGCCCGCCGCACCGCATAGCTGTCCCCCGCGTAATGCTTTGTTCACGTGACATCTCCAAAAATACATTTCGTTTCGTGAATTTTGATTCTGCTTTTTAGCTGCTTTTTCTCCTAAACCCCGAACCAAACACGCCTTGCTGACTCAGCCCAAATTTACCTCTCTCTCTCTCTCTCTCTCTCTCTCTCTCTCTAGTATTATAGTGGGTGGTGGTTTGTCTCGTAGTGTTTTTCTCAACCGTGCTTCATGAGAAAAAGCTCTAGAGATTTCGCGTGTGTGTTCATGGCATCTCCCTTGGCTTTTTTCTTCTTGAAGCCTTGTACTCTCTGGCCATGCGGTTATGCGAGGCATGTAAGGACAAGAGGGTGATGACCTTATACTAAAACAAATGATGGGTCTTTCTGTGCATTTATGTTAGGGTGTGTCATGAATGAGGTTGTTGATGGTTCCCCATGCATGGTTGGAACTTGGAAGTGGTTTGTTTGGGATTGCAAGGTGGGAGGGTCAAGAAAAGATTTTTTGTTATGCACCTTCATTTCCCCATGGTTTTTCTTTTTCTATATCATGTGGTTGCTTGGATGTATGCATGCATCGATAACATAAGATTTTTTTCTTAAAAGCGGTGGTTTCGTGAAACATGAGTTGGTGCACTTTATTTATTGTTTCCTCCTACCAAATTATATAAAGTTTGTATATTGTTTTGGACTCGACGCCGAGGAAACCTTGACTTTTTGTGGAATTCCCGAATCGACTGTCTCTCCAAGTAGTTCGATTTGGATGTAGTTTTTTAGGTTACAAAAAGTTAGTGAGCTGTGAAGTGATTAATCGTATGATACGATACTATTATTGCTTATTTGACTTGTGACTATCAACTAAAAAATTTCATATTCTAATTTCCTCTGGTTACGTGGCTATTGCAGGGTAAATGGGGAGACTATAGCATGACTTCTAATGGATGCAACTTCCATTATTGTGGCTAATGATGTGTGAACTGGACTATCGGGTACTTAGGTTACATATCGACTTCTGGAGGCCCCACGCAGGGTTACGTTTACTAATGAAAGCTATTAAATCCCAATGATTAAACATTCAATCAGAGCATGGTACAGTGGTGCGAACACCTGGCAATCGTGTATGATTTGATGTAAGTTGCGCCGAAACCATAATTGAAATCGAGTGTAAGTTCTTGGGCACAAATGTTTAAACGTGAGCCAGTCCCTGAAGGCTTTCAATCAAGGGAAACCTGAATAAGTGGCCGTGTTCAAGCGTCCATTAGTTTTCTCTCTCTCTCTCTCTCTCTCTCTCTCTCTCTCTCTCTCTCTCTCTCTCTCTCTCTCTCTCTCTCTCTCTAGGTTTGAGCCAGTTCATCTTATCATCATTATTGGCAAGGAGAAGGAGAAACCCCATTTAGCAATTTACGGTCCATAACTTCTATAAATAGAGAATACATATTCACGTCAATAATAAGATAAGTCATCATAACATATAATGACATTGCGCTACTAATGTGTAGATAAAATCACAGAACTTATGTCATATTATCCTAAAGTTAATCATGCACTCACTGATTCCGAACTTTTGAAAGTCGAAACTTATTGTTTGTCATCCTTTAAAACTCATCCTAAATCGTATTCATCTATGTTGATTCCGTAGATTTTCCTGCATTTGCCCTACCTTTACAGGTTTAAGAACAACAAAATCATGTAGTGCTTACATCCCACGACATGTAGGGCTGGCAATTCGTATTTGTGTGTTATATTCGCGTCAATCGCTCATGTCATTTCATGCCAATATCAAAATCCTTCAAATTATTTCAAAAGTGTTGTTTCTGGTCAATTTCGAGTCTAACCCGCGTCGCGCCAAATTCCAATTCCTCACAATAAATCCACATCGCGTTCGAGTCGCATTCTCACGTCGCGTCAGGAATCGCCGCTTCTAATTATGTGCCGGCTTTGACTTCCCCGGACCTCTGTACCTTTATTAGTCATAGACGATGACAAGGAATGCACCAGTTTAGCAAAATCAATGAGCATACTTTAAGTTATTTCTGCGATGTTACGAAAGCTGTGTATGCCATTCTTACTCGAAATTGAGGGGTATTGGAAGGAGAGGGAGATGACGAATTTCCTGCTTAAATTGAGGACAGAACCCTGCCAAATCAATGAAGGAGATGGAGTGATTATCCCGGTTGCGTATGAGAAGGGGGAGATGTGATCAGATCAGAACGTGGCCATTGTTCCCAAATCATTCAGACTTCCATTACGTGCGTGGCACATAAATGCCTTATTTGGCATGTTTATCATGAGTTCGATGAAGTTTTACGGAAACTTTATGCCAGGTATAATTCTTCTCCATCGATCCCCTCGACTCAATCTAGAGAATCCGTACAAGACTCTCTCTCTCTCTCTCTCTCTCTCTCTCTCTTCGATTGGGGTGGCCACCGGCTAGCCGATGATAGATGTCGACGCGGAGAGCTTGGTTACTGTTTTCGTACTAATTAATACGGAAACTAGGGAAAATTGTCCAAAAAATCTTAAACCTATTGTACTTTTGTCAATTCAGTCATAAACTTTTTAATTTTGCAAATTGAATTCTAAACCTTTTCGTGCTTTGCAAATTAAGTCTATTCGGTCAATTTTTGCCGGAATTTGCTGACGTGGACGTCGGCCGTCCTATGTGGCACGGCCGATGCTGACATGGATAATTTGTAATAATATATATTTTTTTCGAATTTTTTAAATTAATTTGTTCCTCTTTTTTCTTTCCTTTTTCTTTTCCTTTTTCACTTCTTCCCTCCATCGGCCACCACCAGGCCTCGACCTCCACCGACCTTAGGCAAGGGACGCCTAGACCTGAGCTGGCGAGGTTCACCCTTGTTGGCCAGGCGAGGATCGATTGCCCTTGTCGATCACCCTCACCTGGGCGAGCGAGGGTGGCTAACGCTCGCCAGGCTCGCTAACCCAGGTAAGGGCGACCCTTGCCTAAGGCTGGTGAGGGCGGCCCTCACCTAGCCAGCAAGGGTGAAACTCACCTAAGCGAGCGATGCCATCGCCAGCCTAGGTTCGAGCGGCCCTCTCCCAAGGCTGGCAACCTTTGTCGACCATCGACGAAGCCTGGTGGTGGCCGGCAAAGGGAAGAAGGGAAAAAGGAAAATAAATAGGAAAGAAAAAACGAAAAGAAGAAAAAGAGAAGAAAAGACAAAAAGAAAAAAATAATTAGAAAAAAATATCAAAACATTTATTAAAAATTATTCACATCAGCGTCAACTGTGCTACGTGGGATGACCGGAGTCCACGTCAGCGAATTCTAGCCAAAATTGGCCGTATTGACTCAATTGGCAAAACGCGAAAATATTTAGAATTCAATTGACAAAATTGAAATGTTTGGGACTGAATTGGTAAAAGAGTAATAGGTTTATGATTTTTTTGGAAAACTTTCCCATGGAAAAGGTGGATATGCTCTTCAGGTTTTGCTTTTTTCAAAAAATTAGATAATCCCACTCGATAAAGTGGCTTTTCTTTTCTTTTTGACCTTTTAGTTCTTTGATAAGAATACTGCGGAAAAGAGAAATGGGAAATTTCTGAATATTTTAATGGGTTTTAATGAAAAAGTACATCAACCTATTTATAAGCTTTATTAAATGACTGTCTAAGTTAACAAGATAAACATAATATCAATTACATTCAATCAGAAATATTGTTTACAGAAAAAATTGGCTAACTCCTTAGAATTGACACGAAGTCGATTTGGTCTGATATATAATCGACATAAAGTTGATTTCGCCAAAGAGTTATGATGGAATCAATATCGATGAGCCATGTGATCCAGCAACAATTACGTAGGGCCATTGTCGACATAAAGTGGATGACAATTATCGATGACTATGAAATGCAGCTATTGATGCAGTGTGGCACGTGGTCTATGAACATCTTGTTTTGATAACAAAGCCAATATATGGCCAATAGTATCGCAAATTTGGCTGAGTGTTGAATACACGAAAAAAGAGTGAAGATGTTGATTAAAGGTGTGGGTATCTATATCGATGGGTAGTCAAGGGACAGGAAAATTACCAAAAAATCCTAAACTTATTGCGCTTGTGTCATTTCAGTCGTAAATTTTTTAATTGTATTAACTGAATGGTAAACCTTTTGACAATTTGTCAATTTAGTCATTTTAGCCAATTTTGACAAGAAATTATTGACGTAGACGCTGGCTGTTTTATGTGGCATGATCTGTCACAGGCGAGGGCCAACATTGCTGGGATCTCGCAAGGCTCAAGCTTGCCGGGTTCGAGCAAGGTGGAGCCTCGCCCGTGGCCGGCAAGGCTTGAGCTTCCCAAGATAGAGCAAGGTGGAGCCTTGTAGGCCTTGGACGAGCTCGATCTCGTTGGCCCTCTCTTATGGCCAGTCGTTGGCCATTGCTGAGGCTTGGTAATTGGCTGCGACGTCTGGCGGTCATGAGATGATCCCCATTGGGCTTCAAACACCTTGTCTAGAGAAATAAAACTCTAGATTTCACACGTCGAGATGAAGTCAGAAGTTGCTCTACATTGATAATTTCATTGTCGCTTCCTTTGTGAATGCATTATTTTGAGATGAATTCAATACATATTTTATGGAATTCAATGTACGTTACTTAAGAGCATGCCAATATTCCTAGCTTCGAACCATATCTACTATCGCATAACCGAGTTTATTCACATCTCCTCGTAGATTACACGAGGAGAAAATTACTAATTCAGTGTTTACAGTTTCCTAGAATTCAGATGACATCTTTTTTCTTAACAGTTGCCTGGGTGATCATAAGACAGATGCAATGAACTGGAGTGAAAAACCTCACTATTTGGGAGGCAAATCTCCCCAAAACAAGAACTTGGATTGCGTTGAAAAAAGGGGTTACCCCCAATGAGTACTCCAACGGAAATATTTCCCAAATGCGTGATTTGAATTGATCCGCATTCATTTGCTGGTGAAATATTACAGGAGCCACATAATACAGAAGCAATGTGGGGTCGAAAAGGGATCTAATTGGCCCTAAGGATGGACCGGGTGCACATACTGCTGCTCAAACCTTCACCTTCCGCAAACTCGCCACCGCCGGAGGGTTTCTCAGGTGAAGGAGGATTTGGGCTTGTATACAAAAGGGAGACTGGAGAGCACTGGACAGGTAGATAATGTGCTCATTTTCTGTATGTATCGTGTATGTAGTAGCAATGGTATATGCTTGACACAACATGAATGCCCTGTTTGTGCTTCGTGTGGTTCACAGAAAGCAAGCGAAGAGGCGCGAAATTCTCAATCAAGACAACGTGCCATTAGATCCATCGAAACTGCCCTTAGAGCTCGGCGGTCTTTTCTCCCGCCAATTCTCTCCCCACATCTACGCCTTGGTGACGGGCCCTTCCTCTACTCACGTCCCTATTTAACAACTTACTGTTCCTCGGAGAATCGTTCTCCGCGGACCCCTCGAATTCCCACCTGCTGCTGTGCCCCAACCAGCATCCTCGTCCCTCAAAATCTTACCGCCTCTCTCATCGATGCCGGTTCCATTGTTCCCGTAATTAGAAGCTTTGTTAGGATTGGTACGCCTGGTTCACTAGGTAAGAAAGTGCCATCACCACGTCCCCAATGGGAGGATGCACGGCCGCCTGCTCTTGTACACACAGGGATGCCCGGCAAGCGCCTGATATGGACGCTGCATTGGATAACGCCCCTGCAGCCTTGGATCTGCCAATTTCGAGAAGTTTCGCCTGTCATTGAATAATGGACGTGCCTGCACAGGCAAACCATCAGAAAGAACTTAGGATTTATTGGAAAGGACCTCCGCTTTAGGATTAAAGATATTGAAGCAAAGGCAAGCTTGTCAAACTGCTTTCTAGCCGCCGTTTCTCAATAATACTCCGTAAAGCCCAGTGTTTTTTTTTTTTTTGTGAAAGCAACAAAAAGAAATTTTAACTTGCAATCACTTTGTTTTCTTTAAATGTTCAGCTACATTCCTATTTAATTAAAAACTATGGAGTAATGGAATGTTTCACTTCAAGAACTCTTTCCATTCCAAAAGCACCTCTAAACATACTTCTCAAAGGAAGGAAGTCCATATGAGAAAGTCTAAACTTTGGTTGATGACTTAACCGGGGCAGAATATTTATGTAAAATGTCAATCTGACGATTTCAAAATTTGATAATTCTGAGACAGATGCAATTAAGTTGAAGCTCTTAAGATTACATTACAAAAACCAACCATGTCAAACTCATTAAAGAAACTAATCCAAGTTTTTCCAATTAAAAGATCTGCTGCACCAACTTTAGACTCTCTGATCAGACAGAAAAAGTTTAAGGATTGATTGCACTGTTCACAGCTTGTCAATATCCTTTAGCTCCAACTTTATTTGCCTGACAAAGAAACAATGAATACCGACAAAGTATTTCAGCGAAAGCAAAAGAAAGAGGCTAAACAAAAGTTCCACTAAACTGGAGGCAACAACACGAAAAAATATTAGCTTCCTTGCGGAGGGATCCACATATTCTTCAAAAATACACTGTGTAACTGATTCAAACATCAAACACGGTCTTTTCTATGAATTCATTTCTTCTCTACATGTTAGATGATCCAGAAAAGGCCCTTTGAAGAAATAATATCATCTAGCTAACTTTAGCCTTCCGACTTCAGGTAAAAGAGTTGGTTCATAGACTGAAAACTAAAGACTGGAGAAGTGCCGAACTGAATGAGTGGAGAGATTGTGGTCGATTAGGAGGAATCGGTCCCTACTGCTTTAACTCACGCTTTTCGGGTTCCATCTCTCCGTTCTCTGTTTATACTCTTCTTGAAATTTGGAGGAAGAAGACTTTGTTGCGAAATTCAAATCGGCATCAGTATAAATATTATAAACAATATAGAACTGTAAAGAAAAGAAATTGTAATAACAAAGTTGGAATCGATACAAATGAATACCGAGGCCTGTGTTTGACACAGTTTCCTTAAAACAGATTCGTTCCCTCCAGTATGCGACCGAGGTTTCGTGAACGTCTGTCTCCCAGGGTACAACGGTTGACAGCGAAGAAGAGAGCACGGCACTTCCAAGCTTCCGGCGAACTTGAACAAACTCGAAATGAACACTACCGAAAAACAGTGCAAATGCAGAGAGAGTGTAAAACCAGAGAAAGAATGATTTCGATAAAAAGGAACAGAGGGGAGAGCAATTCGGGAATAATAACGGCCGATTAAATCTGTCGTTACAAAATCAATACGAATAACGGCCGATTAAATCTGCCGTTATAAAATCAATACGAATAACGGACGATTAAATCTGCCATTATAAGATCAATACAAATAACGGCCGATTAATTCTGCCGTTATAAGATCAATACGAATAACGAACGATTAATTCTGCCGTTATAAGATCAATACGTAGGGGAATAACGGCTGATTAAATCTGTCGCACGTTATGAAATTCGTAACTGTTTGAGTTGAAAGAAAAAATAAATCAGAAGGCAAAATTGGGCTCGTCGCGAGGCCCACTTTTCGGTCCTGCAATCGTGGGCGCGCCCAAGTTTCAACTTGTCGGGCGTCGGATTTGCACCCCTCCTGCGCCTGCGCGCGAGGTAGAGAGTTTGTGCTATGATAGTTACCACTTCAAATAAGTGTAACTGTATATAAAGCACTCCATAGCCTTCTTTCTTTTCCGATGTGAGACTAGTGTTTTTCCACATCCCACTTCCAACTCAAGGGTGTTCTTTGAGCATCAATTTCTCATTTATTTACCCATCAATTTATCCCATATTTCCAACAGACTTATGTGTATATCACTGCTAGGACAGCAATCTAGATAGAGAATAAACGGAGAGAGAGAGAGAGAGAGAGAGAGAGAGAGAGAGAGAGAGAGAGAGAGAGAGAGAGAGAGAGAGAGAGAGAGAGAGAGAGAGAGAGATTGTCTTGTGATGCTTCTGCTGGATGTTGTAAGTTTATTCTAACCAGAATTTGCCCGCATTTTCTAACTCTAAGTTTTATTGCCTAATTTACATGTCGCGGTTAGTAGCAATCATGTGTCCATGCGTATTTTAATTTTGGGCTCGTTAGACTATCTCATCTCAGTCGTATAAGAAGATTAAAACTCCATTTGGTTTTGAATCTTCTTGCTCCTTTGCTTATCACAGGGACATTGCAAATGATGCAAGTTTTTGAATTCCTATCCAATCATGAACAGCCTACAATGATCTTTCGAATTGCATAGCTACAAGTTCGTGCACTTTTACTCTCTTCCCGGGCATGAATTTCAACTAAAATGCTTGCAATGTCAGAAGTACCATCTGATAAATGGACCATAAGGCCAGTTATACTCAGCCGTGTTCCACATAAGGCAATTTAGCACGAGTATCATCAACCCAACATCATCGACGAAAACGGGTTTCTCGACCACTTGCATAATAATGAATATATTAGTAATAAACTCGATCTATTCTTTATTTAGATGGCATAAGAACAAACATACTTTGGGAGATTACCTTAAGCACTTTCTTCTTCGTACAAATGTATTACAACCGAGAGAGAGAGAGAGAGAGAGAGAGAGAGAGAGAGAGAGAGAGAGAGAGAGAGAGAGAGAGAGAGAGAGAGAGAGAGAGAGAGAGAGAGAGAGAGAGAGAGAGAGAGAGAGAGAGAGAGCAATAGAGAAAGTAGGATCATCATAGAGAGAATAGATCGACACAAAATGGTAAGTTGGGCCCGAGCTAACCAATAACTTGGCAGATCAGACCCCCAAATCTTCCCTGGCCCGGAGGTCATCACCAGAAACTACCACTTCCGCGGTGCCCTCCGGCAGTTGTGATGGCTGCTGCTCATCCGCACGGGCTTCTCTGCCGTCGATGGGGGACGGGATTTCGACAGTGACGGGGTGGACGTGGGAGACTCCTTCTAAGGGGTTGAGAATGACCATGTTGGCGATGTGTTGTGGGAGCTTCTCTTCCACCACGACGATGCCGTCTTTGTTTCTGAAGTACCCGTACAAGGCCATCTGGCATAGTCCCAAGAAAAAGCCTAGGATGTTCGGTGTCTGCATGTCCAGGTCAAGAACATTCTTTAGCTCGGACGAACTTACGTTCAAACTTGACAAAACATCTAGTCTGCCACAAGGTTGACCACATTTTTAACGAGAGTTTAGTATCTCCGGTGGAAGTATCATGTGATATCGATTTACTCAATCACATGCAGACACAATCATCACAAAATCTTTATCCGCAATAATTAAAAGATATTGGATTTATGCGTTTAGATTGACCAAAAAAGCTACCTACTTAAGTTTTGTTAGATATTCTCGCGTCCGTCCATTTTCCAAAATGTGAATTCTCGATCCTCCATCAATCATAATCATTAATAATGTGTTCCGCTCAATCGATATTATTAAACTTTTATTTTCCAAAATTAGATATCATGAACTGATTCTTTGCTCTTGGCCTCCTCAGTATACATGGAATAAAATGCAAGAGTATATAATATGAAAAGAAAAAAACCGAAAATTATCACCATGCTAAAGAATTACATAAATTCATCCTATCCTAACAACGTGAAGGGTAAATCCAATCACACAGAAGGTGTATAGATGTCTATGGACATGGGACCGGCATTAGCGTTTCTTGAAAATTTAATTAGTCTTAGTCCATGAAAACGACGTGCCAACGCAATATGTTTCGTATCAAATGCAGCAGAACCCAAAAGTGATGCTGAAGAAGAAACTAATTGGATCTACATTACACCAATGCACATTATGATAGAACATACACTTAATGCAAATGAAAGTAATCCTATACAATCGTTAATTTAATCTTTCGAAAATGGAGATCACTTACCATAATGTACCAGTCCTTTCCGAAGAAACCATAGCCGAACCACATGACGGCACTCACCGTTAGAAAGAACGATAGATAGAAGGGCATGAACTCCACACTCTTCGTTCGTATAACTCGTGCCTGGACACCAGAATAGGCCCAAAAAAAAGAAAATTACAATGCGTTTTCCATGGTTAAATATGAGAATTTGGGAAGAGGAAGATTGAGTTTTTGAGTGCCCACCACAATGCTTAACGGTGCTGCGAAGACGCACACGGCAATCGTTGTGCAGATCCATCCGAACACCTCGGTGCGTGTATGAGCATTTGGAATGAAGCGTGTGATGAGAATTAGGAGAGAGAATAATCCCAAGTTCATCCCAAGAAAGAGCTTAATCGTGGAGTTCTGCAATAATCAAGATCATTTAATTAGACAGAACAAACACAGAGTAGTTAGAAAAAATAGGGGGAAAAGAGAACTTAACAATAATCAGATGGGAATGATGGAGAGCGTAAAACACATTCGGTCAACCCAGTCAGTGGTACACTATCATTGGAATTTATTGTATTCTTCAAATTTCAGTTATTTTTCTCGTCGAACATAAATGCTTCCATTGTATAGATCACGTGAATTGCCAAAGAAAGTTTCTAGTTAAGCCCTCTGTGTCATTGTGATCGGAATATTAGCTTGTATCGTCTAACAATCAGTACGTACCCTCACAGCTTTCGGCGCATAAGCAATGTACATGGCGATGTACACCGTTTCGATGACGCTTCCGAAGGTGTTAATGGTGATGAGAAGGGTGGAGTTTCCTTTGAGGAATGCGTAGTAAAGCCAAAGCATGCAGCTGAATAGAGCAACCAAATAGGGTAACGACTGGAAACCCTCGGTCGATTTCTTCCTGTAAATCCTGTAAAATGTCAGCCTGCAATAAAAGATAAAGAAGCAGAATTAGCAGTTATTGTATCAGGATCAAACGACCATCTACGTGAAGGAATGAAATGACATCATCTTCATTCTTGGGAAAGAAAAGAACTTTAAAGAAACGTGATTACTTACAGTGGAGCCAAGAAGACGACGAACGAGACAACGTTTCCTATCATCAATTGCAGAACAAAAGTACGAACGTTAGATTATTCTATGCAAGCGCAGAGCAGATGAAAATTTTCTTTTTTCTAGGGTTAAATTAAAGAAAAAGAAGAACAACCTCAGTCATTTTACTAATCTAACTGCCGAGCACATACGGAGCAGTTGAACAAAACTCGAGCTAAATCATGCTGCATGTCGTTCTATGACCTATGTACAGTCACGATACAGCTGAAAGATACAAAAGACTGAATTCCCACGAAATGCAAACCGAGTCGAAACAATATTAATCCCAAGTTAGTTGCAAAAAGATCGCAGAGCAGCTTTTGGTTGGTTTTGCAGCAACTTTAAGACGGAAACAGACGCTAACGTATCCGCCTCAACATTTCAAGCTAATTCTAAAATTGCACTAGAGTGAAAACAAAAATCGTTGGAGGAAATGGCCAAAAGGGTTGTCAAAAGTTGGCCAAGAGACTGAAAGAGTTGCCCGAGGTTTTATTTTGAGCGAGGCTTATATCATCACAAAGAAACTAATTAAAGTAAAACCCTTTTTCTTATATGTGAAGACTAGTGTCGAGATAAGTGCACCAGCAAAAATTTTCTTATTTTTTTTGTGCTTTTTTTTTTTTTGGGCTCTACTTGTGCTTTGCAGTTGATAGAAAGAGAAAGAGCGAGGTTTAGAAGAAAGAGTTGCCATAAGAAAAGAAGAAGAAAAGAAAAGAATGACCCACTAACATTATGCTAAAGATACTAAATACAAACGATGTATCAAGTGGAAAAGAAAAATGGATGTAGACCATATGAGGATGAATGGGGGAAGTGGGTTGGAAGGAAATGCCCAACAGGCAGCATTAATGTGAAGAAGCACAATGAAGATGAAGGTGAACAGCTTCTTCTGATTTCCTTTTGTCTTTACCTAGGATACCGAAGGCGACGGTCAACAGATGATAATCAGCCATTTCACCTCCAACCAAGAGAATCCTCTCTCCAAGGGCAAAGACCAGAAGAAGAAAGCAGGGTTCAGAGATAAACCCTAGCTCTCTCTCTTTCTCTCTCTATCCCTCTCCCTCCCGCTCTCTCACTAACTTTCGCTGAGGATCAGACAAGGGATGGCTTAAGGTGGTGGGGAAGCTCAGCTTTTATATACACCCACACACATGTTGCATACACTCAGCACAGGAGAAAAATGGGGGTTGTGTGTGTGTGTGTGTACGTGAGAGAGAGAGAGAGAGAGAGAGAGGGAGGGAGGGAGGGAGGGGGCGAATTGAATTCATTCTGTTTGCATGGCAAGTGGAAACAAAAATTATTCTCTCCACAACAACGCTAACCGCCCTCCTTCTTCACGTGCCTCCTTGCTCGCGTGCCCCTACAGCTCCTCCGTAACGATGTGGAGGTCGGAACGCATGCATCCACGACCAGCCTCACCACTTGAATACATTGGTTCCGTCCGCCTTGAGACGGTGGCTCTGGGGAAAAGTGTCAAAGCCCTAAACTTTTTTTAGGGCCCAATTCCCTAAAAAATCCTCAACTTTAGCCTTTGTCCCAATTATATCCCAAACTTTTTTTTGTCTCATAAAAAACCCCAAACTTTCACTTTTGTCTCAAATCTACCCAATTAACTTTTCATCCAATTTTTTAATATTATTTTTTTATTTTTTCGAAATTTTTTTATTTTTTCTTTTCTTTTCTTTTTCCTTTCCTTTTCTTTTTTTTTGTTTCACCTTCAACCCGGCGACCGGCCAGAGGTGGGGGCCGGCGAGGTCGGCCCCGTCGACCGCTGGCGAGGCTCGGCCTCGCCGGCGTTGGGCAAGGCCGACCTCGCCAATAGCCGGCGGGGTCGAGCCTCGCCGTGGCTGGTGAGTTTCTTCCAGCGGTTCGCCTGAATTCGACGAGGTGCGATCGAGATTCGCCATGGCTAGCTCCGGCGATGGAGAGAACGGCGAGAACCACCGGACTGCGACCAGCCCGGCGATCCGTCGTCGATAGACGCGTCCTCGGTGGAGTGCGGGCCGAGCTCGAGGGTCTCAAGGGGGACAGCCGAGGAGATTGGGATGGCGGAGAGGCTGACAGACGTCTTCGTCGGGGGAGGCGACGGAGATCTGTTGATGCAGCGGAGCGATCGGGAGGATAGGGTTCTGCAGGTGCTCGATATGCACGTGGTTGGGGCCTGCCGCTCGATATGCCAGTTGCTGGCAGGGCACGGCAAGGCTCGGCCCCGCCGGCTATCGGCGAGGTCGGCCTCGCCCAACGCCGGCGAGGCCGAGCCTCGCTAGCGGCCAGCGGGGCCGACCTCGCTGGTCCCCACCTCTGGCCGGTCGCCGGACCGGCGACCGGCCAGAGGTTGAAGGTGAAACAAAAAAAAAGAAAAGGAAATGAAAAAGAAAAGAAAAGAAAAAATAAAAAAATTCGAAAATATAAAAAATAATATTAAAAAATTGGACGAAAAGTTAATGGGGTAGATTTGGGACAAAAGTGAAAGTTTGGGGTTTTTTATGAGACAAAAAAAAGTTTGGGATATAATTGAAACAAAGGCTAAAATTGAGGGTTTTTTAGGGAGTTGAGCCATTTTTTTAGTGCCAATTTAGTCCTAAACATCTTGTCTTAGTGCTAATTCAGTCATTCCGGCTAATTTTGGTCGGATATTACTGACGTGGACGCCGGAAGGCCTACGTGACACCGCTTGCGCTGACGTGGATAATTTTTAATGATATGTTAATATTTTTCGATTTTTTAATTATTTTTCGATTTAATTATGTTGATATGGCCGGGTGGTGGGCTGGCCTTGCCTGGGCGAGGGTCGCCGTCGACCACCACAAGCAAGGCCCGGTTGACCCTCGCCAGGCGTTGGCTTGGCACGGGCGAGGCCGCCGTGGCCTGGGCGAGGGCCGGCCTTGCAAGATCTAGTGAGGGGAGCCCGCGCCAAGGCTCGCCCTTGCTTAGGTGAGGGCTCGCCTAGGCCAAATCTAGCTAGGGTTGGCCAGGCCTAGCCTGTGGCGGGCAACGGCGACCTCGCCTAGGCTAGGCCAGCTTGCCCCGGCCATGGCCTGTGGCCAGTCACCGGCAAAAGGTAGAGGAAAGGAAAAAAAAGAAAAGAAAGAAAAAAATCATAAAAAATTTAAAAAATCGAAAAATATTAAAATATTATTTAAAATTGTCAACGTCGACGACAGTGGTACCACATAGGCTGTTCGACATCCACGTTAGTAATATCCAGTCAAAATTATCCGGAAAGTCTGAATTGACGCAAAATTAAAAGGTTTAGGACTAAATTGGAACAAAAAAAATGTTTAGAACTAAATTGGCAACAATGCTAGGTTTAGGATCTTTCCGACACTTTTACCGGCGGCTTTCTATGGAGGAGGGGGCAGGGCACGCGCCTTGGGGCCGGAGAGAGTGGCAAATCGGTGCGAGGAGGGGGGCCTTCGCGAAATGTTACGTTACTCGCCTCACCGCTAAGCTGTCCCCCCGCGGAATGCTTCGTTCACATGATGTCTCCGAAAATACATTTCGTTTCGTGATTTTTGACTCTGCCTTTTAGCCCTTTTTTTCTTCTAAACCCCGAACCAAACACGCCTTGCTGACTCAGCCCTAATTTACCCTCTCTCTCTCTCTCTCTCTCTCTCTCTCTCTCTCTCTCTCTCTCTCTCTCTCTCTCTCTCTATAGTATTGCAATGGGTGGCTGTTTGTCTCGTAGTGTTCTTCCTTTCCACGCATCGCGCGACAGAGCTCTAGGAGGTTTCGTGTGTGCGTTCGTTCATGGCATCTCCTTGGCTGTTTTCTTCTTCTTGAAGCCTTGTGCTCTTTGGCATTGCGGTTGTGCGAGGCACGTGAGGACCAGAATGTGAAGTGATGACCTTATACTAAAAGTAAATGATGGGTCTTTGTGTCCCTTCATGTGTGCGTGAAGAATGAGGTTGTCGGGTTCCCATGCATGGTTGGAACTTTGGAAGTGGTTTGTTTGGGTCAAGAAAAGATTTTTGTTATGCACCTTCATTTGCCCATGGTTTTTCTTCTTCTTTGCCATGTGGTTGCTTTGGTGTGTATGCATGCATTGATAACAAACACGCCTTGCTGACTCAGCCCTAATTTACCCTCTCTCTCTCTCTCTCTCTCTCTCTCTCTCTCTCTCTCTCTCTCTCTAGGTTTGGGCCAGTTCATCGTACCATCATTATTGGCAAGGAGAAGGGAGAGACCCCATTTAGCAATTTTAAGGTTGTCATAACTTCTATACATTGTACGATAGAGAATACATGTTCATGTCAATACTAAGATAAAGTCGTCGTAAGATATAACGACATTGCGGTACTGATGTGTGGTTAAATCAAATATCCTTAGTATAATAATATAGCCCTGCGAGCCTAATGAAAGATACAAAATCTCAAAACTTAGGTCGGGTTATTTTATAAACAATGTCTTTTAAAAAAAAAAAGATATTTTGCGAGCTAACCATGTGTCTATCTAGAATGTACACTTTTCAGGGTAGTGGATGCAAGATACCTTGGTGGCTAAGGTACAGAGTGAATCTGACTTCATAATATCCTAAAGCCAAGCATATACTCACTGACTTCGAACTTTTGAAAGTCGAAACTTATTGTAACGCTTTCATCCTACGACACACTGGGCCAGTAATTCGTATCCATCTCTTCTATCCGTGTCAAAAGCTCGCATCATTTCATGCTGATACCAAAAATTCTTCGAAATCAACCCAAAGCGTCGTTTTGGAAAAATCGAATGAGAACATGTCAATTCTAGTCAGCTTCGATCTATGCCGAATTCCGGCTAACATCCATGTCGCGTTCGGAGTAGTAGCTTGGGGTCGTTGCCTAGAATCGCTCGTCGACTAACTATGCGCCGGCTCGATTTGACCGAAAAAAGTGTCAAAAAAGTTCTAAACCTTTTGCATTTGTGCCAATTTAGTCTCAAACCTTTTTTTTGTGCCAATTCAGTCCTAAAACCTTTTGCATTTGTGCCAATTTAGTCCTAAACCTTTTTTTTTTGTGCCAATTCAGTCCTAAAACCTTTTGCGTTTGTGCCAATTTAGTCCTAAAACCTTTTTTTTGGTACCAATTCAGTCATAAACCTTTTGCATTGATACCAATTCAGTCCTTCCGGCTAATAATTATTCATATGTCGAAAGACTGAATTGGCACAGATACAAAAAATTTATGACTTTTTTGACACTTTTCCCCTATTTGACAGGGCCTCGGCACTTCATTCATTGGTCATAGGCGATGATGCCAAATGTGGGTGCACCCTGTTTAGGGAAACCAGTGGGCACATTTTCAGTTACTTCGGCGACATCACAAAGAAGGCTATGATGACATCCTTGCTGGAGACCGAGAAGGAGGGCATTGGAAAGGGAGCAGGAGGAGGAGGAGGGAAGCGACGGATTTCCGGCTTGATTCGAGGGAGATATGTGGACCGCAAGGGGGGCCCTTTCTTCGGGGTCGCAAAGACACCCCTGACCAAAAAAAAAAAAAAATCAACGAGGAAAGAGTTCGCGTTCGAAAGAAAGAAGTTGGACATTCGACGGGATCGATCAGGACATGCCAGCAGTTTTGGCGTGTCCATCGTGCAATTTTCATGGGGGTTGGAGGCGGAGGGGGAAACTGATGTAATTATACCCAGGCGTGATTCTTCTCCGATCAAACCCCCACCTCGGCTCGATCTTAGAGGAACCCGTATCAAGACTCGCCCTCTCGTCAAACTGGGTGGGCAGCCGCCGCCGAATGTTCGTGTCGGCTTGGGTTGCTGTTTGCGTAGCGATTTGATATGGAAAACGTGGGGGATCCGCTCTTCGGCTCTTCGCTTCTCTCTTCTTTTTGGCATACTTTCCTTTTTGGGTCCCTTTGTTGACTCCCGAGACGCGCGCCCCTTTCACGTTGAATTGACTGGCGCTATTCCCCTACGGGTCCCTCCCTCGCTCGAAGTGAGTCAGTGAGGTCATTTCTTGCCCTCTCCTTTTGGTTTTTTTTCCTTCTTTCCCTTTCTTCTTTTTGTTTCGATTTGGCTGGAGGCCTGACGCCGCCCCCATGCTCCTCTAGAACGACATTTATTAAAGGTTGAA